AGACAAGACCGGAGACAAAGGGAGACAGAAGGGAGACAAGGCGGACACAGTGACCAACAAGAAGCGAGACAAGAAGGGAGACAAGACGAAACAGAAGCGAGACAAGACGGACACAGTGACCAACAAGAAGGGAGACAAGACCGGAGACACAGGGAGACAGAAGGGAGACAAGGCACAGTGACCAACAAGAAGGGAGACAAGAAGGGAGACAAAAGGAAAAAGAAGGGAGACAAGACGGACACACACCAGCAGTGACAGAAAGGGCGGACGCATCTTAAGAAAGAATTGAGAACCCCTAACAGTAAACTGTTTGGGGATTGTGTTCCGCTGAATTGGCCGCCTGAACCCACCGGAAACAAGTCAAATGACTATAATGATAATGATGGAAATCTATTCATAGCGACGGTGACATGAAAAAATCTCAGTTGAGCCCAAGCCCGACCCTCTTCTCAACATCTTGGCACTATTGCCATGATTCTCTTCTCAGAAACGGCACAATTAGAGCGGTTGTTGATGTCTGAGTCTATGTGTGCTTTACCATAACTGGTACAATGGCGAAACCTAAGTATTACCTACACTCCCTTTCTCTTGCCGACCTCGCGCAGACGGGCGAACAAAGTCCCTCTCCCGACCTCGCGCCGTTCGTCCCGACCTTGCGACTCTCCGAGCAATGAGTGGGAGAGACTGGCACTATGTGGTTGCTCGACACTGCCATCCGGATGAACGTCCTGGTGACCAATAGGACCGTGGAGGTCCCATCGACTGAACCGATATGGACTCGTGGTGACTGAAGTGGTTACTAGTAGCTTCTTGCTACTAGGCGTTTAGAAAGGATGGGACAAGTGAAACAGCCACAAATCGCACCAAAACCACTTTGCTCCTCGCATTTTTCTTCGGCTGCCTCTTTGGAGTCTTCCCGCACAACGTCCATGTCACAATGTCTTCGGGAAAATGTTGAGTGTTTCTGCTCGCTCATGCAAAGGTATGCAAAGGTTGTCTAGGTAAGGGATTGAACCAAAGTTTGATTTCGCATGTACGCTTCAGCGCAAAAGAAGTCTGCTGGGTTTCTCTCACGCGGTCCGTCGAAGCCATACTGCATTGGCCAATTGCAAAAGCGACAAGTACTATCCTCAAAGCTGCCTGCAAACCTGAAAACCAAACAACAATGTCACAGAAGCATGGTGTTCCAAGGCCGGTTCAAACCAAGAGTGAAGTCAGCCAAGACATGGCCAGTGTTGATGATGGACAACTCAGCCTTCAAGGTGAAATTCCATGCGAGGACAAGCAACTGAAGTGTGTTTGTCTCAATCAAGTCGAAGTGTCCATCAGTTACAGACCAGGGCATTTCATGCAATCTCTATTTCGGCAGTTATTAATCTTTTTCATTCTTGATCAAAGCATCTCCAGTAATGCCGTAGAGGCTACTTCATAAGCGACCTCCTTTCCCTCCCAGAATTCTTTTCTTACTGCTCTTCTTCTGCAACGTGAAGTCATATCATTCTGAAGAAATCTGCCTGCTGAGGCTTTCTTGCCCAAAAAAGCCACTTGCGATTGCCAAACGGGCCACATGAGTGTGAAATATTTGGTCCAACGGTCCAACAGTACGAAGAACTCGACCAACCAGGCGAGCCTCACCACCACCAGAGAGCGCTTCAAAGGATGGTGCCTGTGAAGGTTACGTCAACTGCAAGGGGTCTGGTTTGGAAAACGAAACAGGGTATCCATTTTCCATCCCATTATGTACACCGTACACCAGAACATCCATACGGCCGCATGTGTGATGTCCTTAGTTCTTTGAGTTGTTTTGAGAAGTGCTGCTTCGATTGCCTGCCTAACTCCTAACAGCTAGACTGATGGCACTCCTGATATGCGTGGACTGATGGGATGTGGCACAGTGATTGCTGCGGATCCACCACGCACTGAACGCTTGTTCCCACTGTGCACCACCTCGGCTTTGATGATCCGCCCGGTCGCCACGTTGGTCACCTGAAGTGACGGGTGTGCATCGATGACTCGCGTGCAAAGAAAGCTAGTGCAGCACGCTGAAACCCACTTCCCTGTAGGTGACTGTAGCGTTATGGAGTTATGTAACATAAGTCATATGATGTCATATGTGTGTGTCAACTGATTCCAAGCAAAGCTGTGCTTCCGTGCGAACATTGCAGACTCTGCACGGGCTTCCAAACGCAGCAGAGTGGTGTGCCTCAAAAACCAATACTGGACGTTCCTTGAAACGTGAATGGCGGTCAATACAAAATGCACCCGCAAAAAAGGCCAGCCAAATGATGTTAGGCTCTCTTACGGTCTTTTTGCTTCGTATTCCAGCACCTTCCGGAACCAATTCGATATTGGAAGAACACTTCAACCCATCCTCATGAATCCATCCTCCCTACCTTCAATCCGGGTTGGCCTCATCCCTCATCTCCGTTCTCCTACTGCTTCAACCCGAAAACGGGTGAAAAAACATAACACAAACATCTTGGTCTCCTGGCCGCTGTGCCAACGGGCAGGCCAAGACGATGTTCATGCCTTGAGCACTCATATTAAAGCACGAGATGTCTTATCGTTGTCTGCTAGTGTCAGCAATTCCTCGTGGTCAGTTTTCACCTGCTCCAACAAAAATACATTTCGTTTCAGGTACTGTGGCGGCTCGTCACCAAAGGCATGGCAACGGCGGGCTGTTGACCAAACCGCATGCAACAGCTTTGAGAGGGGGATGGTCGTTGGTCATCACACATGGCTGCCGCTTTTGACTGTGCTGGCAAAGCGCGACGCACGCGACACGGGCCACACAGCGAAGTGCTCAGAGAGGGAAAGGGGAAAAAGCGAGAACATCCATTGTTGAGAAAATGAAAGGTACAAGCAGAGTTGTCCTGTAAACGGACAGACACTGCAGAGATGTTTGCAAGCATGTGTGTGTGTGTAAGTGAGTGCGCGCGCATGTGTGTGTGCCCCTTGAAGTCACAGGGATCCACTCGGATTGTGTTGATTGTGCTTTTGGTTTTTAGCCGGGGGG